CCCTCCCCGCTGCCTTCCATTGCCTGCTGCCTGTTGTCGGGAGGTGTGATGCAGCATGCCCCCAGACCACAGCCAGCTGGGAGCGGAAGACGGTGGGAAGGGAGAGGAGGGCAGTGGCTATGCGGTGTGGCCCCACCGCAGCATGCCCTTTCCCACTGCACCACGCCTCCAATCACCTGCCCTGCTCGCTGGCCCCTGACTTTTTCTGCCCAGGGAGGGGGAGCAGGGTGGAGGGGTGCTTGCATGCAGCCGGACGCTGAGCTGGGGCAGCATGGGGTGGTGGCTACGGCCACTGCATACAAGCTTCCCCTCACTTCCTGGGAGGCAGTGTGGAGTGGAGCAGGAGGAGGTGGGGGAGGCACACAGGGCCAGACGAGGGAGGATCTGGGGAGGAGGGCATGTGTCCCCCCCCATGGATCCCCTGCGCCAAGCCCCTGGATGAGCTGCTGGGCTTTGATTGCCCCACAGCCCAGCCCAGCTGGGGCCCCAAAGGCGGGACAGAGAGGGGCCTGGATGCGGGCCTGTGTCCTTGCCCGCCCATCATTCTTGATGGGCAGTTTGCTGGTACTTAGATATTTGCCATGTTTCAAAGTTAACAGGTTTCTTAGTGATCAGAAGCAAAAATAAATATTACCACCAACCAAACAGGGCTTTTTTTGGAAATGGATATCTCAAATAGTTTTAAGCATACTTGACAATATGCACATCACAGTAGATCACAGGCATGCACAGTAAATCAGAAGCGGCTAATTCTGATGATTTAATGATTCCTTTGAAGTATTATTACAAGTCACATATCTGAACATAAAGTAATTCCTGTATAGTGTTTTTTTTCAGGGACAACCAGAAATTTCATTTTTATAAATTGGAAAAAAATCTTTAGGGCCAGGGACAAACATTCAAAAAGCCTGAATTGATTCAGTCTTTGCAGGTTAGTCTAACCTGACTAGGTTAAATCAGTTTGTAACCAGACAGACATCCCAAAAATGCAGGCACATGCCTGCAGTGGCTCAGGCGAGAAGCTGGGGAACGCTAGAGCAGCTCTCCCTTCCTTTGCACAGAGCTGTGTTGAGGGGGGCATGGCCAGGCCCCACAGGACACTATGATTAGGGAGGGGTGCCCCTGCCCCCTGAGCAGCCCAGCAGGGAATGATTATCACCTGTAACTTCATGTTTATCAGCATATTAAGAAAACAACAGAGGGACATTACCAGCGAACTGTTGATTCTGCCTTTGTCTTGTGTGCCGCAGCTTGGACAAAGGATATAGTCTGTTAGGTAATGCTGAGGGCTATCTGTGAGGGACAGGTGAATGCCTGCTTAGCAGAGAGTGGGGAGGGAAGGTGGGGAGCAGAAGCCAGGCAGATGCCTGCAGAGACTGCTGGAGCTGCAGTCAGGGAGCAGAGGGGAGGGGCCAGCCCTGCTGTGGAGCAGAGAGCCCCCCACACAGCCCATAGAGCATGCTGGGATGCTGGGGGAGCCTGATTTAATTTAAACCAGCAAGGGGTCTGGGACAGACATAGCATAAACCGGTTTGAGCCAAATCAGTTAAGTGTGATACTACATTCAACCAGGTTTATCTCAAGCTGGTTTCAGCCATTTTCAAACTGGTTTATGTGCACTGAACATCTGTTCTGTTACAGGTTTAAACCAGTTTCTGATCACTTAAACTGGTTTATGTGTAATGTCTGTCCCTAGCCTAGATGTTAATGTTTCTGGGATATTTTGTGTTGATTTTGTTGTCTTTATTCTGCTAAATAAAAGCATGTTTTGTTACAGTTTCTTCCTTCGAAGAAAACAAACCAAAGAATCGCTGTCAGAAAAACACTTGTGATAAAACTAAAAGATTAAACAAGGTACTGTAAATAAGGCAAAAAAAAAAAAGTAAAAATTATTCATTTATTTTTTTCTGTTACAAATAACTTGTTCTAAATAATGAATATACTTACACAAAACATGTTAATGTATGTACAGCTAGGGCTAGGCATGATATTTTATCATCTGCTAAAATTCTTTAATTTAATTTGGCCAAGTGGAGAGGAAAGAATCATACCATAGGTCTGTTTTGAGACCTTTAGGCATCTGTACATATGCTCTGTGGTGCTCGGTAGCTGCTCTAATTAAATGCCCACAGCACCTCGTATATTTAGCATCTTGCATTTCAAATTGGCAGTGGGGGCACTTTAACTAAAGCTTTTTAACCAACAGGCTTTGGTTAAAGTGCCCCCCCCGGTATTTTGAAATGCAGGGATGCTGAATACATGAGACACTGCAACATGTTGGTGTGTTCTGATTAGAACACTTCAGCAGACTCAATTAATCGTTCTAATAAGAATGCATCAGGGTACATGTAAAAGTGCTCTTTGATTTCAGGTGATGAGACAAATTACACAAGTAAATTATTGAGCTTAAAAAGCAACAAAACAATCAAAAGAGTTTTGATTATGAAGTGCTTTATTAACATGTTATTTTTAAATAAGGCATGTTTTTCCATCACTCAGAAATGACCATGATGCTGATGCATGGTTTACTATGAAGTTAAAAAGTCCTAGTGAGACTAAAAAGATTAAATATGCTTTATTTGATTTTAATGTCTCATTTAGATAAAGGACATAAGAGACTGTAATAGTTTTAGAACAATATAACATTGAGCTATTTTTCAGAAATATTTTTTGGTTTTTGGTGAAATTGATCTTGAAGGCAAGCACTTTATTAAGATTGAGTCATTGGCTTTAAGTTAAAGGAACATTATGAAAAATATACGAGAAAAATATGTTGATGTACTTTTTCCCATTATAACATGCAAAGTTTTTTGCTGTTTGCATAAGAATTTCAAGTTCCTCTATTTTTCGTGAAAGATTTTGGGGATTGCTAGAGAGCTGGTAGGATTATCAACATCAGAGAAACCAAACAAATGAAACAGGATTGAGACTATTTAATCATTCAGATTGTTTAATGCCCTTTGAGCAATGAAGCTATACCAATTTTTACTGGATGAGTGTCTCCAGTTCCTCTCTCCCCCACTGCCTACTCCCCCCTTTTAGACTTTTGTTCAAACCAAATGCCCAAGAAATACTTGGGGAAAAGATATGTATTTGCTAGGAGGACACATTCTAAAAATGTCTTACTTTTCTGTTCTGTTTCCCTTTTTTATTATTGTGCATCCAGGAGTTGAATCTTCCATTCAGATGAGAAGGGTGTATTTTTAGATAGTATTTCTGGAGATACTCAGCCTATCATAGAGTTTCAGGAAGAGAGTTGAAAGTAAATGGGGAAAACAAAAATCTGAAAAATCACTGTATTTTGAAATAGCATAACTTTTCTTATTTTCAGATCTCTGGCACTTATCTTTTAACTATACTTCAAAGCATTAAACCCAATATGTAGGGGTCTGCCTATATCGCGGGGGAACTTACCAATTTTTGCAGGTTGATCACAGCATTAAGTTCTAATTCTGCAGTCATTTCCTGGCAGCCCTGCCCCTCTGCACTGATTGGAGGAGAGATGAGGGGGCAGTTGCCATCTTTGTTGCTGGCTACCCTTCATGCAGCCCTGCCCCTCTGGGCTGATTGGTGGGGAGGAGGGATGAGAAGGCAGCCACCATCTTGTCTGCTGCCATTTGTGCCATCCCTCCAGCCACTGCCTTCCCCTCCTGGCGGCGAAGACCGCTGACTCCCACTGGGGAGCCAGCATTTTATTTTTAATGTCTTTTTTGTTGTTGGTTTTGCAGATTTTGCAGACAATCCTGGATTTCATGGTTTCCGTGAAATCTGCAAAACTGTGAATTAAGTAGGTCCCTTCCAGTATGGAATTTCACATTTGGTTGGTGGAGCTTCAGTTATGCAGTCATGAACTCATTTTCTTCTGTGTACTCTAAGACACGAAGCATGTCTGTTCCTCTTCTAACATCTCCTGCCATAGTTCCGAGAAATTAAATTCAAGCACTGTATTTTGAATCTGGGATAAAGTCAGAGTGCATGTCAGATTTTACCTCAGAGGGCAAGCAGACCTGGATCCAAGCTCTCTGCTTCCTAGGGAGACAATCTCTGAACGTGAGACTGATGCTTCCCTACAGCATGCTGTCCTGCTCCCATCCCTGGCAGCAAGGTCCAGTTATGCGCAGCAGAATCTTCCTCCTCCCCTCTCATTAATCTACAACAATTGTGATGGATGCCTTCTCTCTGTTAGACTAGGAAGCACATGTCACTGACTTGCAGACACAGGACTCTCTGGAAGCGGGATGCGACAAACGTCTGCATCAGATTGTTGTAGCTGATAGTGGAACAGAGAGCTTACAGGTTCCTCCTCTTTTGCAGACAAAGGTGTTATATCAATCTTGATTGTTAATACCACCACCAAGTTTTTTCTCAAAGTGGTGAGAAACTGTGCAGGGAAGCAATTCCCCTGTCACACTGGTGCATCTGCCATTAAATGTGCCTCTGCAGTGCACCTTTGTGACTGAGGAAAATAAGAAATGCTGATCATATTGATCAAGGTCTCAGTTATGGCTTTGTCAGACATTCTGATTCCATGGTCAGAAAGTCTCTTATGTGCATTCCCAGCATGCCTCTGATTTTTGCAGGTGCTTTACAGGGTGAAACAGGACTTGGTCTGCATGGTCCAACTGGCCCCCATGTGCCTCAGTTTGGTTCTAGTACCTTCTGCCTAGTGTCCATGAGGGGACCAGTGTCTTTGTTTTTGGTCCTGAACTGGCTTATCCAGGACCAAAGGGACCTGGCCCCTGAACCAGCTGACCCAAGCACAGCACTATACCCAGATCTGTACTCCCATCATCTCAAAGTCTGGCTACTGGATGGCTCTTGCAGGTATAGCAAGAACATTCTGCTGAAGTTAAACACATATGTATGCAGCAGGAAGGATCAATTAGACATATATACCTGGTGATGTAGATCAGATTTTCTAGCTGATAGGCAACTGAAAAATCTCTTTTTGTACCTGCCCTTTTTGTACCTTTCTATAAAATAAAGCAGTTGAAAATCTTTGAGCTTCTGCATGCATTGAGAATCCTTCAGCCTCTTACAGCTTCTCTGCATATGGATTGCTGCTGTGCCAGCCTAGAAGAACAAAAAAACACCTAAGAGCCACAGACAATTGACTGGAGAAATTAATAATTATGTCTTCATAAGAGGACTTGAACTATTCATAGTAAATAAAGCATAGAATTACATATTGAACAATTCATATTGACCAAACAAAATACTGAATAGTTGCTAATTAAGCATCATTCATTCTATGCAGCGAATAAAGTAGAGGTATTTGGAAAAAAAGATTTATGTACATATTTAAAAACAGGCCTAATTCATACACGCATTAAATTCAAGTTATAAAAGCTACCTTCAGTTGGTATTACCCAACTAATGAGCACTCAACTTTGAAATCTTTATTCCCCAATGTCCATATTGTTTTGGTGCACAATTATTCTAGCTATATAAATGAGTTTATTAAACCCATTTCAAAACTAATTTATTACAGTGCTTCTCTTCTCTCACAGAGGCCAGGTAGGGTGAAGGGAAGGAGCAAGTTCCTACCTCTGCACAGAAGCCAGGCAGGGAAATGGGAGCACTTACCTCCTTGCCCAGGGTCCAGGTGGGGAGAAGTGAGCACTTACCTTCTTGCATAGGGGCTGAGCAGGGACAAGGGATCATCCCTTCTCTTACCCAGTGGTATCCTTAAAAGGATCTCACAGCACCCCAATTGATCTCTGAAAAGGAAAAATTATCATGCAATTATTATAGCTGTGATGTTTTCAAAAAATGTTAATTCATATTACCGTAAGTACCCAAATCCAAGACAACTTCATATTTAAGAAAGCTCCCCAATAATTAGATTCTTTACATGGAAAATATATACATTTATTATAATTTTCTCTGTATAGAATCTAATTATTTCTCTGTGCAGCGCTGCAGCAGGGAAAACAGTGTCAGGGAAGCAGGTGGCGGGGGAGTCGAAAAGCCTGACCCTTGCCTCTTGCCCCCTGCCACCCCACTGCCTACACATTTCTCTTTTCTCCTTGTCCCCAACGCCAGTGCTGCCTGGTACCTCCACTCCTGCACCCTCCCCTCCCCTGAAATGCCCCTTTATGCTCTGTGCCAGAGCAACCGTGTGCTCCATGCCCCAGGCTGCAGCCAGACCTGAAGCTGCAACTGAGAATAAGTGGTAGGGCAAAGCTGACAGAAGAGGCAAGTTGGGGGAGCAGAGGCTGTGTGTGTGTGTGTGTGTGTGTGTGTGTGTGTGTGTGTGTGTGTGTGTGTGTGTGTGTGTGTGTGTGTGTGTGTTGGGGGCGGGCTGGGCTGTGCCTCTGACCCCAAGCCCAAGTTGGGGCTGGAATAACAGCAGCTGTCTGCTCCTACCTTTCATTCAAATACAAGAAGAAAGGCTTTTTCCCCCACATTGAATGGAGGAAAACTTTGTTTTGAATTTAAATAGAGTTATGCCATTTTATATTTAACACTAAATACATGAATGTTAGACTGGCTAGCTAGCTATAGTCCATTAGAAAGCAATAATCAATAACAGTAATAACCCATCTCTTAAATCCTGTATGTTATAACCCATGCCTCTCGAATGATACAAAGAGATCAAAAACAGCTTGCTTCAATTTTTTGAATGGTTGATTTTAGAAAATATCTGTTTTTTTAAATTTAGGCAAAAGATCTTATAGCGAAATTTTTTAAAGAACAAGTGGAAGTGCTGGGAAAACGTGCTAATCCATTGCCTGAAATATACTACATTGAAGGCACTCTACACATTGTATGGGTTAATCACTGCCGCCCAGGATTTGGAATGAACTCTCTGATACATCCAGATTGTCCTGATTGTTGTGGTATGTAGTGAATTTACAAATCATACAGATTGCTCAGCAACTCAAGATTACTTTTATTTAATTGAGCCTCATGCATAATTGAATGTTAACAGAATAGTTAATTGTATCACTTTGCCCTGGGAACCTGTTATGTTTTTCCAGGTAACCAAAGTTGAACTGGGTTGTCTTTTTTGGTAGCTTTGTAAGAAGCATCTTTGTGCTCTCAAGAATAAAATTTGTCATTTAAGATGTGATCCAAATTAAAGTAATTGGGATTTGAGTTAGGCCCTTAGATGGCACTCTTTATTTTGAGTTAGCACAGAAGCTGTGATCCAGCAAAGGGTTAAGACTTCACTGTGCTGCTGGAGGCAGTGGCATAATAGAGTTGGTACCCAGGGCAAATTCTGTCGGAGAGTAAGGGCAGGGGTGTGTTGGCATGTGATTCCAAGAGCAGGGGCGCGGGAGGTGCACCAGCCTTACCCATGCTTGCATTCCTATGCAGTCCTGGCTAAGCTGCTGCTACCACCATGCTTGCTCTGCCCACGTTGGCTGTTGCTCTTACAACAGCAGCAGCCAGGAGCGGTTTTGGAGGGACTTCACGGCAGTTGGGGGCAATTCCAGTGCTCCTACTAACTTGATGCCTGGGGCAGATGTCCCTCCTGCCCACCTTTAGTTACACTACTGGTTGGAGGTGCCGCCTCAGATGAGACAAATGAAATGGGTCTGATTTTTTTATATTAAGAATATAGACTGTCTGATTTTTTATATTAAAATGCACCTTTATAAATGCAGAAATACTAATGTTATGTCCCAGTCTGATTACAAGTTAGTAATTACATATGGCTTAGTGGAATTTCTACTTCAGTTGAATTATTTCACACACATTTCACTGTTTCAAATAGCATGTAGTGTCACTAAGCACTTCAGATAGTTGTCTACTTCACCCCACTGGTAGCTGAAATGTAAGTTGTGGAGGAAATGATTTTGATGTATGGCTTGCATATTGCATGTTAAATTTATGAAGCACTTTGTGATGCTTCAGAATGTAAGGCATTGTAGAAACAGAATATCTTTATCACTATCTTTATCACTAGTATTGATCATTAGTTGGGGATGGTCCTGCTTTAAGCAGAGACCTGGACTAGATGACCTCCTGAGGTCCCTTCCAACCCTTATTTTCTGTGATTACAGTGAGGTTTTCTGGGGAAATTGATGTTTTATGAAGTCCATGTGTAAAGGCCATTGGGAGAAGACAGCAAAAATAGTGCAAAAATTGAAGATATATTTATGGGGGTTATTTAAAAACTATACAAGAGAAATTAGGAGAAAAATACAGGCTGGAAAACTCAAATGCAGAAACCCCCACATGCCTTCCAGCATAGAGAGTGAATGTATATTGTGACAGGGTGACTGAAACACCTTGTCACGGGAACAATGACTTACCTGGAGAGGCAGGGAAAATTGTGGCGAGCCCGGGTGGGAGAAATGCTGCACTCTGAGCAATTAAAGGTACCAGCTGGGGCCGCAGCAGGTCAAAGGCTGCTGTGGCAAACCCAGCTGCTAGGGGCTTGAGCCCGGGAGAAGGAGAATGACGTGGACAAAAGGAGAAAAAGCCCTGTTAGAGGAGGAGAGAGAAAACAGCTGGGTCAGGCAAGAAGCAAATGGGAGGCTGCCATGGCAGACCCAGCTGGGGAAGAGGGAAATTTAAGGGATGCTGAGAAGGCATTCTGGGGGCAGCAAGAGAAAAGAAAAGAAAAGAAGAGAAGAGAAGAGAGAGAATGCAGGGGAGACTGGAATACAGGACTGACCCGGAGCTCAAAGGAAAACCCCTATTCCTCAATTTACCTGGAGGGATCCAGCGAAGAGGCTGCTCAGCAGGGGAGAGAGGCAATGCAGGAACGGAGGAAACTGCTTAGCTGGTGAGTCCTGCCCTGGGATGTGGAGTTAACCACTCTGGAAACCTTGAAGAAAGCAAAAACACCGATGAGATTACTCCCCAAGAGAGAGTGAGTCCGTCCTGACCCTGAACGTAAGGGTGGGACTGGAAGCAAGGGTGGCTGGCTTGGGGCCTGTGCAGGGAAGAATGGAGCCAAGCAGCTGAAAGAGGAGGGAGATTCCTGTCAGTGGTACTTAAGACCGAGACTGGAGTACCAACATCAGAGGCCAGTACCAATGCGCCTGGAATATCTGGAGTGGTTAGGGCAGGGTATGGGGATGGTGGAGCCCTGTGAAGACCAGCCAATGCCATGAGTCCCTAACTAATGCTTTGTTTCCCCAATGGTGTTTCAGCATCTATCTCCTGTAACGTCAAAGGGTGGCAGGGATTTTTTGAAAGATGAAACACTACCATTTATAGGAAGATGACTCGGTTCCAGGCAACACGGCACGCCAGTGACCTCCTACATATACAAAAACTACTGGCAAGATACAAATAGAATATGAACAAGAAAGGAGCTATTCTGGAATATACTGGCATGGAAAGAGTTGGACAAATCCTTTTCACTTTTCTTATGCAAGTCATGGCCTTGACAGTGAAATTACTTACATAAGTGAAGTGACCAAAATTTGGATTATTGTTTTTAAAAGCTACTTTTGACTCCCTGGAAAGAGAGTTCATTTTTTATAATTGTGATAAAAGTCAAATGATCTCAACTCAGCATTGTGGCAGCTAACTTACTAAAGTGTTAGAATATAGAAGCATGAAGAGGAATAGAAGATAGCCAAGTAAGTCTTTTTCAATAGATGAAGTTTTCTGCAGAGCTGGAAATTGGGGCTGCCTGTACAGGAGCACGGAGGCTGCTCCGGCGCACTATAATTACAACGCATTGGAGTAGATCTGATTAATTGAGATGCCTCTGCATCTCGTGTATCAGCATCCCCACACTACAAACTAGTGGCAGAGGCATTTGAATTAAAACTGGTCAAATTAACTTTAGTTCAAGTGTCCCTGCTGCCATTTTGAAGCGTGGGGATGCTGATAAAGGAGATGCTGTGATGCTTTCGTGGAGCCACTTTAATTAAACCATGCCCCGGCCCCTGCCCTCCACCCTCAGAGCACATGTAAAAGTGCCCTGGGAGAAAAGAACAATGGATTCCATGCCAAAAGCTATCTAGACACTTAAAGTGCTTTAAAAAAGAAAATGTAGGAGAATAAAAGTAGGCAGTATAATAAAACAAAAGTTGCAGACTGCAGCATATTTGAAGCTTCGATTTTCCATGTGCTCTGATTATGAAAAAGAATTTGTACTGTGCAGGATAATTTCTTTTAGTGGTATGTAGTGAAATGTGGAAGTTTTAGATATATCTGTTTACATAATCTCAAGGAAAATTACATTAAAATCACTGTAGGGAGTACATCTTTTCTTAGGAAGCTTTATAATATAAAAGTTTCTAGTTTTATCATGAACTCACCTCCTTTATCCTATGCAGAGGCCAGCTACCATAAATACAGTTGTTCCAGACAAGCCTTCTCAGCTAAGATGCTAAAAGATTATTATAGTATGAAAATTAAAATGTAAAACACCAGCTTTTTTTCTTAGAATAAATTAGTAGTTCTACACGTTAGAATTTTTTGAGGAAAACACTCTAGGTAAATTAAAGATACCTGAAACTTGGATTCTGAGTTCACCACAGATTTTCATTCCCATCAGCTCAACAAATTTCCTTAAGCAAATGCTATTTTCTAATCTCCTATGATAGGTATGCAACTGTGAACAGAAATATTAGTTTTTTCTAAAGTGCCGGCAACATTTTTCCTTCTTACCTTTATACATGTCAGTCCCTGTTTTTTCTCTACTCACAGATTTGAAAATGGATTCCTTCCCAGAACCAAGACCTCACATCAGCTCCTTCCTCTTATTCCACTTCTTTTGGGTGGGTGGGTGAAGTTTAACATTTTCTTTTAATTTAACTTCCTCCTTTTTCTTGCTGTGGTGTGGCAGGCAGAACTATTACATGACCATAGTATCAATATGCAACAGCCCCATTTATCTCAGTCATACTATAACCATATGATATTAAATAAAGATGAGGCTTATTCTCTCTGTCCCTGGATTCCTTTCAGAAATTTGTCCTCCTGTTCAGCGACCTCTCCCACCACACATCCCAACACATTCTTATACTTCCTCCCACTCATAGCTGTTATTTTTAAGTGGGTTCTCATTCTATGATCACAATGTTTGATGTCCCTGGACATCCTTCTGGAAACGTGCTCAAATCTATAGATTTTTTTTAGCTTCATTTCCCAAGTTCGTGAACAATGTAGACTTCTTTAAATGGGTGTACATTGTTTGGGAATTTGAGCAATGAGATCAAAATATCATTGTAGGACTTGCATACTTGGTCATGCAGCTATGGAAGCTTTTTGTTTAGTAGATCACTATTCAATAGTGTGTACATGTTTCTCAAACTATACATTCTGTAGGATATAAGACACAAAGAGACCTCTCAAGGTGACTGAATGCACTAGGAAACAGCTTTTTTGCTCCTGCTCTTCCTATTATAAATGTGGTCCAGAACCTTCCACCTTTGATAGTGAAAAACCTTTTACTTTTTAACTTAATCGTCTCAATTATTTGTGTCTATAGTTTATACCCATTTGTTTTTGTGACAGCCTTGTCTTTTAGTTAAAATACCAGTTTTCTGTCTGTGGTATTTACCCATCCAGTATATTTCTAGAGAACAGTCATATCTCCATTCAGCCTCAGTTTTGCTGAGGTAAACAATTCAGGCTCTTTCAGTTGGCTTTCATAAGATAGGCTCTCTATCCCCTGTTCGTCTTGGTAGTCTTTTGCTATGTGTGTTCTGGTTTAAATTCATGGTTTTTAAACATGAATGACCAGATGTGTACATTATATTCAAGATGAGTTCTTACTGGTGCTTTCTGCAAACACATTAATACTTCTCTGTTGCTGCTGAAATTCTCACCTGGCACATTCTTGTATCACAGTTGCCTGTTTTCACAACACATCACAGAAGTGGCCCCACAGTTATTCTGCAATCAACTAATATACTCGTTTCCT